TAAATAAAAATAGGGGCGCCTGGGTGGCTTAGTCGGTTAAGCGACCGACTTTCGCTTGGGTCACGATCTCGCGGTTCGTGGGTTCGAGCCCCGCGTCGGGCTCTGTGCTGACTGCCAGCTCAGAGCCTGGAGCCTGTTTCAGTCTGCGTCTCCCTCTCTCTCTGACCCTCCCCTGCTCATGCTGTCTCTCTCTCTCTCCTAGAAATAAATAAAAATTAAAAAAAAAAAAAAGAAATAAATAAAAATATTTTAAAAAATTCTCTTTAAAAAAAAAAGAGGAGGAATTGGATTTAACAGGCTATTAAGAATAATAATGACAATAATGCTAATAATACAGAAGAGATAAACACCGAGTGGGCAACTTTATATTTTGTCAAGTAAGGGCATTAAAAATCTTAATAGTCTTTATATTTTTATTTCATGAAAGACCACTTTAACACCAAAAAAAATTTAGGAAGGACATAGTATCAGAATAAAGGACAATTCTTTCAAGCGAATGCTGTGCCTTTATGAAAAACTCATTATTTTTTCCCCCCTCATTTTACCACACAGGGGGAAAATTTCAACACAGATCGCTATCGGTCCTCAGACAGTGACTGGGATTTTATAAAGACTGTCAACAACTCATCCTAATCATCTAGTCTATTAAGTAACTTCTATTTTGAAATATTAGCAAATCAAATTAAACAAACTGAGTACCTATTTTCTGGGAACTTACTTAAAACGAATGGCTTTTTCACAAACAGCCGATAAGTTAACACACACACACCCACACACCTCACGAGTCTTTATGACAGCTAACATTTAGGGAAGCCAAAGGGGAAAAAACCTGTTAAGGTAAATATAATTCGCTAAGATGTAGAGTGTGTACCTGGAATTTATTAGGGGTTATTGACCTTTGTTTTATGAAGTCATATTTTTTCCCCTTACACATCAACTAATTGGGCTTAAGTTTAGAATGTCTATCTTTGAAATTGCAGGTCAAAGTCACCACATGAGAGCACTCACGAAAGTAATTTCCAAGTACGTGGGTCCTGTATGTTAGAACATATTTTTTTTAAATCATATTTCAAAATACCGACTAAACCTACTAGCACGTCAAGAAAAGAATCTTCCAGGGACGCCTGGGTGGCTCAGTCGGTTAAGCGTACGACTTCAGCTCAGGTCATGATCTCGCAGTTCGTAGGTTCGAGCCCCACATCGGGCTCTGAGCTAAAGCGCAAAGCCTGGAGCCTGCTTCAGATTCTGTCACTCCCTCTCTCTCTGACCCTCCCCTGCTCACACTGTCTCTCCCTCTCTCTCAAAAATAAATAAAACATTAAAAAAAAAAAAAAAAGAATCTTCCAAAAGTGTGTGATTCTGAAAGTGTGGTTCCAACAAAGAAAAGGAAGCGAAGGAACGAAGGGTCTGGGTCTGCGGAACTCAGCTAAAAGCTGAGGGTTTAAAACCCTTTCTTCAAACGCGTCACCTGAAATAATAGGCCATAACTAACTCGAAAAGGAGTGTCGGGTGTTCCGTGCTCCTTTACGGAGATTCCAAGCAGGTGGGACACCGCCCAGCCTCGCTCAGGGAATTCTAAATTCATGTTCTTTCTTGAGTGACTAGTCTCTGATCGCTCCCAGCTTCCTCACGCACTTGGAAGCAAGGAGAGATTTTTGTTTCCGAGATCCCAAGCGCACAGGGACAGCGGGAGACGAGAAGAAGAAAGCCGGGCCTCAGCGAAGGGCACGAGGGGTTCCGGCCAGGCTCCGGGCCGGGGTCCAGGGCGGCTGCGCGGCCCGTCACGTGACTTGCGCGCTGCCCGCTGGGAGCCAGCGGAGTCTGCGCACTCACGCGCGCCCGGGCCTCTTCATTCCCATGCTTTCGCTGAGGAAGAAGGTGTCGTCGCCATGTAGTAGCCCGGGCTTGGGGCGGGGCTGGAGGGATGCGTGCCCTTGAGAGCGTGAAACAGGGCAGTGAGAGGGGGAGCGCTCACACTCGGGGACGGTAGTGGGTCTGAAACACGAGTAGGGAGGAAAGGCAGCGGGGAGGGAAGTGAGAGAAAAAGGTAGGTGTCGAGGTCTGAGGGGCCCACTGGGCGTTGAGAAGACCAGAAGCAAGTTGCGTAAGACATGGGCAGTGCTGGGTAATGTCTGGGTCACCAGAGCATTGGATTGCATCGTGGGGTTTTGTCACAGGAGCACTGCCAGCCGCTTGGGCCGCCCTGGAGTCCCCGGGGGCCCTACGTTCTGACAGAAAAGCGGACCTGTTTTTGCAGAGACCTAGTTACCTAGCTGTAGAAGTTCTCATTTGATCTATACGCATATTCTGTTACTCTGAGAAGAGAGAAGAGGTGTAGAGGGAAAGGGGAAGAGAGAAAGGGGAAGGGAGAAGAGAACGGCGCTCATTGGCTTCTCTTTTCGAACTTCCCAAGGCGAAGTGAGCACTACTGAGCATGTGTCGTATTGTCTGCGTATTATCGTATTATCGTTACAGCCCTTGACGCCCAGAGGTGCTGGCGGGAGTGTAGGAGCGCTGTGGGTAATTTACCAAACGGACAGCTTTCTCTATGATTTGTTGTTGCTGTCTTATATATATGAATGTGACATATGACTGATGAAACAGGTTCATTACAATTATCCAGGACACCAGGGTTCCCCCCCCCCCCCAAAAAAAAGCGAAGTAAATTGATAGTTGAGTATAGACCGGGCTCCTCATCTCTTAGATGTAGAGACTCTCCCGTTGTAGATTTTTCCTTTTTTCTTACTTTCAGTGTCACCTTTCAGATTCCTAGAGAAGCGATCTTCAGGATTCATGGGAAAGTAATTTAAAAGGAAAGTTTGATGCTATATTAAGGTAAGATAGGACAGTGGAAACTCAGGCACCTAAAGGCCTTGGTTTTAGTCTTACTCAGTTTTACTTGTTAGAACTTGGTCAGCAGTCTCTGCCCCTGTTTTCACGTCTGTGAAAAATGACACCGGATTAGATGAACTGTATTTCATTTCAACGTTAAGATTTTTTTTTGAAGGTAGAAGATATTAAATTCTGGCAGAAACAAGGCAGAAATGCCAAAGAGACTAGTTTGGCTGATCCTATGTAGAGGGAGTAGGTGAATATCGTGGGAACGCTAGACTGGCGGCAGGTGAGCTAGGATTTTGGATGTCGTGCCATGGAAATGGGATTTCTTCTGGAGCAATGAACAGTGGGAAGGTTTTTGAGTTTAAAGGAATATGGTAGTCAGAGTTTTGAAAGATGGCCTAGATAGCAGTTAATAAGATGGGAGAGGGAAGGGAGAAACTGAGTTGTTCAGATAAGTGACGGATAATGAGAGCCTAAATTAAATGGGCAGCGCTGGAAAGAAAGGGAAAGATTGAAAACAGCCGTAGCATGGGGTTTGCACTTACATACGGCGTTCCTCTAAACTTCGCAGCCCTTGCCTCCAGAATATGATGGCAAGCCCCGTCGTGAAACCTGATACTAGAAATTGCAAAAGACCAAGAGAGCTGGAGGTAATCCATATGCTCCTGGAGCCTTTAATCTTTGATTTTATTGTTTATACTTCTCAAATTTTTCCTATTGAAGAAAGTTCTGTTGATGAACGTGATTTAGTGTTTCCATAGTCCCAGGACTGGGGTTGTCCCAGCAGGAACTAGCTGCTTTTTCATTAAACAGTATAGGCCTGCAAGAAACTATTGAGAGACTTCTTTTTTATAATTCGTGATGTAGAGACAGAAATGGGTTCATGTTCATGCGTACATGATACATAGGATTTTAAATAAGTATTTTGCTAAAATAAGTAGGATACCTAGGTACTGTAGTTGCTGATATTTTAAATGAAGAGCATTGTATCCTGCCCTCCTTTACTAGTACTCCCACCAGTTGATCTGTTTGTATTTGGAACGTTATGTGCTTCCTTAAAGATAATGTAATCCTGCAAAATTTTGCAAGAGTTTGGCTATTGTCTAAGTGAAGGTGTTACTCTGTTGCTATGGGAATATCTACCAGTTCAAGATACAGGAAACTTTTTAATCAAGGGATTAAAACCATAATCAGAGTCTAATGTAAAACCAAAGTAGAATTTAGTATGTTAAACAAGGTGCTTGTTAGGCTCCTTCTTGATAATAAAGTTTTAAATGGCTGATTAGAACATGAACGCATATAATTTCTAGCATGTTTGTCTTTTTTCTGGAAGATGTTTTATTTCCCTGTTGGACAACAGAATGCATATGTCCTAAGGATCTTGTTGACTGTTTATCTGTTTACTTTCTTCTATTAGCCTCAAATGCCAGATAGTCCACATCTGTCCTCTCTTGGAAAATCAGATTCCTCTTTCTCTGAAAACTCTGGACTGTTTTATAACGATGAATCCCTGGAGAAAGATTTGAATGGTGATATATAAAATCCTTATATTTCTATACATTGATTTTATAATACAGGAGGTTTGTTACAGTTCATAACTTATTCGGTGATTTTTTTTTTTTTTGAACAGATATGGGCAAGGAAATTAATCTAATGTTGTCTACATATGCAAAGATCTTAAGGCAAGTACTTATAGTTTAGCCTCTTGAGTCTTTATCTTAGAAATAGTTTTTTCTTTTCTGGAAACTACATAATGGGAAGTTTAGTTCAGTGGCTGTAGACCTATCCAGTAATTGTAATTTCAAAGTTTTAAAAATTCTGCCTCGTTTGTAATAGATTAATTGGTTATTTTCAAAGATTAACCCCAACTTTTTCACTTAACATCCTTTGTTTTATAATTACCAGAGCTAAATATTAGGCTGGTTATATTTGGGTCTTTAATTAGATATAACATTTAGCATTTTATGAAAAAACTACTTTGAGAAAAATGCCATTTGTTGAAGTTAATGATAATGAGAGTGATATTAAAGATAAATATGTTTATGAAATATTTAAATATTATGTCTATATATTTGAGGACTCACTGAATTTAAATATTTTGTTGGCCTGAGATTATCATGCTTCTAAGGTATTTGTTTTTTAAACTACTGGGCAGTCACTGTATTTGGATGATGGTTTGTGTGGCTGTTAAAAATAATGTATGTAGTTTAATATTAGAATTGTAATGTAAGATACATAGTTTGCCCTGTCAGGAGACTTTGAATAGTTAAAAATATTTATGTGACTAAACTTTTACTGAAGTGTTTGTAAATTAATGAAGTTTTTTGATGTGCAAAGCTATTTAAATGAAATAGCTAACTAGTATAGCCATAATAAAGAACATCACTGTGATAGTGTCACTAGATGTTATAACTCTCTAGTTTAACATAAAACTTTTTCTTCCTCATTAGTGAGAGAGCAGCAGTAGATGCATCTTATATTGACGAGATAGATGGACTCTTCAAAGAAGCCAATACTATTGAAAACTTTCTAATACAAAAAAGAGAGCTCCTGAGACAGAGATTTACAGTGATTGCAAACACACTGCACAGATAAGATTGTGTATTTAAAATAACATGAGCATTTAAGCCCATTATTGTTGTATTAAAAGAATGACATTTATGCTCTGAAAGTTTTCTAGTTATTAAAGAAAATGTATACCTTAAGCATAGAAAGTGAAACTCCTTGAATTTCTTTTCTAGATTTAAAAGGGGCTTTCTGTTGGACAATAATATTAAGTATGTACTTTTTTTTGAGGGTTAAATATTTGGCGTGTTTCATAAAAGTATAAATTATTTAAATTATATGTAGGGTTTTTTTTTTCCCCCTTAAACCTCCTAGCATTTCTTACATTTCTTAAAGAGGACTCAATGAGTTAATTTGATAATGTGTACCAATATTGCACTTTTTCTTTTGGAATATTCTGTCTAAATAGCAGGTAGCTGTGGAGATAGTTTTAAAATGTTTTTCATGGTCAGTATCATAAAACTAAAACCTAAAGGTAATTTGTCCAGTGTCATAATATGTAATAAATTATAGCTAAGCTGTTGCTATTTAATGTTACCATTTGATTATTTTCACTATTCGTTACAATATATGACTAATAAAAATTCTTGGTTTAAAATTATTTCCTTGTGGTAAAATTGACAAAATAAAAAGCAGAAATTACTAACTAGAACCTTATGTAAGTTGGCTTTTTTACATATCAACCATATCAGTGGTGTAGTTACTAAATTATTTTTGAAAGCCGTAGCCATTGTGTGATGTGGGATAAAAGTTAGTGATCTGGAATAAAAAGATTGGCTAAACAACAAGACAACCTTGGTAAGTCATTTCAAACCTATTATGATTCATAAATTGAATTTCAGTTAGAGGATCTCTAATACTCATCTAGCTAAAAAAAAAAAAATCCTATAAAAAATGTTGAAAGGTACTGCTATGATTTTATTGAAAACTTTTAATATGTTATATAATTACATGTGATAACTGTAGTAATCAGGTTTTTAAAAATCACAGCACACATTTTTCAAGTATATAGATAATTCAATCTATTTTATGTATATTTTGCAGATATAAGCAATCACAGATTTGTGCATATTTACAAACAGCGCCACAGGGAATTTGATATTCTTCTGGCGGATAGTGTGTGTGCCTTGCCACCTTTTAAATATAAAATCTCATTGGACTACTAAAACAGTAATCAGATTATTATTTTAAGGCATATATACAACATTACATAAATACTCATACAAGAAGGATTGAAAACAGTAAAATAAAATATTTACTAAAAATATGGGTTAGGTAGAAAAAACTATTAGGTTTGTATGATACAGGATAGTTTGGAGGTCAATGAAGTAACTATTAGAAATGGAATTTTAAAATAATGTTACCATAGGCACGTCACTTGGATTTTGAGTTATTCTGTTACCTTATAGAATTTTTTCATGTTCTAAAAACAAAGATGTCTCTACTGGCACATCATAATTAAGAAATGTTCCTGAGTTATTTTTTTCTAAACATTTATTACTAATGAGAAAGATAAGGTTAACAGATTGTTTCAGAGTACATTTCATAATATACTTGTTATATCTTGTTAGTGTCACCATTGTTAAACATCTGGGTCTTTCCTTTTCAGGTTCAGAGAATTGGTTTGATCATTTCATTTGGTATGATTAAGACTAGGGTGCCTGGGTGGCTCATTCAGTTAAGCATTTAACTGACTTTTATCTTGATCTTGGCTCAGGTCTTGATCTCAGGATTGTGAATTCAAGCCCCTCATTGGGCTCTGTGCTGGCCATGGAGCCTCCTTAATGGAATAAAAAAAAAGAGACTAGGGAACTGATTTTTAGTCAAAATGTGTTTACTAGGATAAAAGTTCCTAAGCCTAATTAAGGCTGATTTTTTATTAAATTTTGAAGTCTTTGGTACCATCCACATAACCAAGAATAATGATCTCTGAATAATCAACAACTGGAGATATGCTATTCCAGAAATACCATTGCCTTTTAATTTACACTTCTATCACTCATTTCAATAGGATTCCACAAGTTTATTACTTCTCACTGGTTACTAATAAAAACATACATTGAATATTTTTGCACATCATACTCTGCTAGGCATTGTGGGGAATACACGATAGTTAATTGTCCCTTCTGACAGTTGTAACCACTCCTTTCTTGAAATACACTTACATGTCTTTGCTAGGAAAACATGATAAGTAACTGCTAAAAAATAATTCTGTGCAGTGCTAGTTAATTCCTTTTAGTGGGAGTTACTAGAAGACGTTTGGCAAAAGGGTAGAACGGTAGTGAAATGGGTTTTTTAAAAGGAAAGGAGGGTATTTCAAGCAGAGGAAAGTTTGTTAAAATGGCACGGAAGAACAAAAACACGTGGTATGTTGGATAGGCTTTCTCCTGAACTGAGAGTTCACAGGGGGGAATAGTGTATCATCTAAATCGCTAGAGAGGAAGGACTTTTCTTACAATCTCAACTTGTAGCACAGTATTTGATACATTGGTGCTCAAAAGTATTTGTGTTAATGATTATACATTAGGGCATACCTTCACAGGGCCTTATTCATACTGGATTATCAGAAAAAGTTTTGTAAATTAAATGGAAAAGAAAAGGATGATATGGTAGAAAGCAGAGAGACAATGGAGAGGTAGGTTGTGGCCCGATTCTAGAGTCCTGTATTGACAGACTACATTTGGACTTTATTCTGTAAGGAAAGAGATATGAACCTGTCAGAGGAGAGGAACCCATGGATCAAGGGGCTTAATTGTAATGTGAGAGCAGGTTCGAAAGAGGAAAGTTTAGGAAGGGAGACCACCCTTGATGGTCCAATTTCAGATTTCAAACAACTACTTATAGGTTGGTGGTTGGGATACTTCTTGTGGAAAGGAGACTAAGAGTTTGCAGGCATCTGGAAGCCCTGCCCCTTTACCACTGCCTCCCTTCCTCCCCACCGGCCCCTGCATTCCCTCCTCTTCCGTCAGTGAGCCAAGGACAGACCAGGAAGTGAATATGAGCTTTTGGAAATCACAGGATCTGCTGCTTCTAAATGCAATACCAGAAGGTTTTTTCAGATCTTTCTGCATTTTGTCAGCAATCTTTCTACCACTGCAATGGGTTTCCTCTCTGTGGTGGTACGTTGGATCCCAGGTAGGGGATTCGTCCCTTCCTCCTCCCCTTCCTCCTCTCCTTCCTACCTGCTCAGGCTTAGAATTCTGTGCCTCTTTCCTGAAGCTGACTGAGGGCTTCTAAAGCTTTTCACTCTATGTGTAGCAGATACAGGCAGCAACACCACAGAGCTGGGAGTTTAAGAAGGTCGAGTCAGGATTTCTTTACTTGTCAGGGAAACAGCCTTTCATTTGCATATTTTACATAACAAATGGGGCAGGATTCAGGGTTTAGGGATTCTCTTGGAGGCACACTAGGAAGAATATTCACTATTTTGACTTTTTCAATTGAAAATCACTGCTCTACGTCCTAATATAAATGTTTGGTTCATCTATTTGCATTCTGGGGGACTATCTTAAAACCTCTGGTTATTGTTTTGTAGCTTTTTATTATAGCTACTATTGTTATATGATTTTCTTTCTTGAAATTGGCTGATGCTGAGCTATCAGAAATCATACTAATATGCACTATGAAATTATTTAGTGTAATAACCTAGTGCTTGCAGTATGCAAAGCAATGTGTTAGGTACTGGAGTAGGGTAAAAACAAGTGACCCTGCACTCAAGGAATACCACAAGTTAGAAGTTATAAAGTATATTCATCTTTATTGCACAAGACAGAATAAGGTTAATGCCCTAACAGAGCTGAAATAGATGCTGTGTGAGTTCAGACTAAGGAGAATCAGTTCTTGCGATAGGAAATGGGGATGTTGTGTTTATGACATGGGTGACACGTGAGTGAATTCACGTGAGTGAATTTCACCTGGAGGAGATAGGAAATACCTTAGGTGAAGAGAAGGGTATATATATTTTTAATGTTTATTTCTCCTTGAGTTGGGGGAGGGGCAGAGAGAGGGAGACACCAAATCTGAAGCAGGCTGCAGGCTGCAGGCTCCGAGCTGTCAGCACACAGCCTGGCTAAGTGGTGTAGACTTTACCTGGTAGTCAGTGTGGAGTCATTTCTGAAGGCTTTTGGAGGATTATTTAATACAGTCAGATCTGTACTTAAATCAGTTTGGTGACAGTGCTTCCCAACATTTTCCACTCATAGCACACATAGAAAATGATAATATTGGGGCTCCTGGGTGACTCAGTTGATTAAGCATCCAACTCTTGGTTTTGGCTCAACTCATGATCTCATGGTTCATGGGATGGAGACAAACATCAGGCCCTGTGCTGACGGCAAGGGGCCTGCTTGGGATTCTCTCTCCCTTTCTCTCTGCCCTTCCCCTGCTCATACATGCACACACACGTGCTCTCTTTCTCTCTCTCAAAATAAACTTAAGAAGAAAATGATACTATTTTTAGCTCACACTGGAGTAAATTGTTGGGGATCTGGAGCTCCATGAGCTGTTTAGAGCTGGAGGCAATTGGCCTGGAGCCTCTGGACCCCCCAAGGGATAATTATAGGGACCAAGAAGCCCACCTGTTAGTAGGCTCTGGCAGAGGAGATAGCTTTCCTATCTAGTTTCTCCTTCTGATTAAGAGGCTGTGATAATATCATTCAAGAGATTGTGAGGGCCTATACATTACGGCAGTAGAAAGGAAGCGACTGATAAGGCAAGAGAAGTAGAAGCATCAGTGCTGATGAAGACAGGTTCGGGCCAGAAGAAAAGTTGGAGGTGCTGCCCCAGTAGGGTGGACTAGTAAACATCCTTACCAAGGATTTGCCCCCAGACACCCTTGTAAACTTCTGAGCCTTACTCATTAATAATGGCTACCCTATATCATCCCCTTAGCATTCTCTTCCTGGCCCTGTCCTGGTATACTCAGCAGAACTTAACCACTTAGTGAATGTGAGGGGACAGTGAAGGAGTTCAAGGCCCACAGAGATTTTGAAGCTAGGTGATTCAGCATGTGGGAAAAATTGATTTGGAGGGGAGAAAATGAAGAATTCTCTTTTGACATGTTAAGAGTCATCTGCAAGAAGTACTTGGTGAAATTAAGGGGCTAGATGGGGCTACTGAGGAAGTGTGCTGAGATTAAAGATCCAAGATCAGACTTTAGGAACACACTCCTGAGGTGATCAGGAGAAGAGAGGCTAATAAAGGCAGTTAATAACGTTTGGAAATGATATGCTATTGTTATATTTAGTTAGGACAACCAACATAAATAGGAAGAGGTATCTTTCTTTTATCCCCACTGTACCCCCATTTTATCATTGAAAAACTTGAGGCTCAGACTGATTAGTAACTTACCCAAGGCCGTCAGCTAATAAGTGAAGCTAGCATAAAGCAAACAAAGAGGGAGCAGAGAAGTTAGGAAAGTGCAGTGTCTCAGGAACGGAAAATAGAAAAGGGTTTAAGGTCTAAATCACAATATCCAGTGTTGTGGAAAGTCTGAAGAGTATATAATAAACTGCCGATAGTATGCTATGGAGTACAGAATATATACACATGTAAACTTTTTCTAAAATGTAAAATGTTTTAAATTATTGAATCTCTATTCAGACCATTGTCCAATCAGGGTATTCAGTATAATTCTACTTAAGTGAGAGGAATGAAAACTGATCTCAGGGTATTTATTTTAATGGGAGAGGAGAGTGAGATGAATATGCAGAATATAAGTAAAAGTAGTAAGATAAAAAACCAAGGGTTTTCACTTCCCAGTTTTCAAAGCATCCTGTTTATACCTTTACTTCCAATAGTGTGCAAGTAATTCCAATTTTAGTATGCCTAGAACACTTGCTTCCTATACTCTAGAGATTCTGATTAGGTCCAGGGTGGAGTCCCTGAATTTCCATTTCAGTAGTAATATCATGTATTTCTGTTCCAAGTAGTTCTCAGACTGTACTTTGAGAAACAGTGCTCAAAATGTAGATTATAGTATCAATGGTCTGTTTGTCTCTTTATTAGGCAATGAGTTCCTTTACATCAGGTTAAAAAAAATTTTTTTTAGGGGTACTTGGGTGGCTCAGTTGGTTAAGCGGCCGACTTTGGTTCAGGTCATGATCTCACAGTTTGTGAGTTCGAGCCTTGTGTCGGACTCTGTGCTGACAGCCAGCTCAGAGCCTGGAGCCTGTTTCAGATTCTGTGTCTCCCTGTCTCTCTGACCCTCCACTGCTCATGCTGTCTCTCTCTCTCTCTATCAGAAATAAATAAAATATTTTAAAAAATTTTAATGTTTATTCATTTTTGAGATGGAGACTGAGAGAGCACAAGAAGGGGAGGAGCAGAGAGAGGGAGACACAGAATCCAAAGCAGGCTCCAGGCTCCAGCTGTCAGCACAGAGCTTGATGAGGGGTTCAGACCCATGAACCATGAGATCATGACCTGAGCCGAAGTCAGACTCTCAAGTGACTGAGCCACCCAGGTGCCCACATCAGGTTTTGTTTTTTAAGTCTATTCATTTATTTTGAGAGAGTGTGTGTGAGCACATGTGAGCGGGGCAGAGAAAAGGGAGAGAATCCCAAGTAGGCTCCATGCTGTCAGCTTGGAACCTGGCATGGGGCTTGATCTCACAAACCATTAGATCATGACTTGAGCTGAAATCAAGAGTCGGACACTCAACTGACTGAGCCAAACAGGTATCCTTACATCAGGTTCTAATACTTTTTATCCCTTACCAGTTATCACTTTGTTGAATGAATACATAATTCAAAGGAAGATGATATTACATCTTGTTGGATTGATCATTAAGAACTATGGAAATAGTGATAGCTAGCATTTTTTGAGTATTTACTATCTTCCAGAAACTTTACATAACCTAACTCATTATTTATAACCTTATTATTATCCTCATCTTGAAAAGGTTATTTATTTGGAAAGCACGCTAGGATTTGAACCCAAGTAATTTGGAGCCAGGCAGGACCTGGGCCAATACTCTTATTAAATATTACAGTATACTTCTTCTTAAAGGAAGTAGCATTTGAGATAGAATTTGAACAATACTAGAATTTCCTTAGGGATAGATTAGTAGAAAGGGCATTCAGGGTAAGAGTCAATTTTATTGGGAAATCAGGAAATAGTTGAGTTTGACTGAATTGTTTATTATTGGAAAGCAGTAGGAACTGTACCCTAAACCGAATTTTATAAAGATTTGAAAAAATGGGATAATAGATATAACATTTAAAAATATTTGGATAAAATAATGCAAATCTCGGGGCACCTGGGTGGCTACTTGGTTAAGCGTCTGACTTTCGCTTAGGTCATGATCTCGCGGTTCGTGGGTTCGAGCCCCGCGTCGGGCTCTGTGCTTACTGCAAGCTCAGAGCCTGGAGCCTATTTCGGAGTCTGTGTCTCCCTCTCTCTCTGACCCTCCCCTGCTCACGCTGTCTCTCTCTCTCTCTCTCCTAGAAATAAATAAAAATATTAAAAAATAAATAAAAAATGCAAATCTCAGTTCTTCAGAGAATAGGGTCTCTATGTGTTAGTTTTTCTAGTTTACACTTCTCTATCACTGTTAAAATTTTATGAGTAGAATAAGACACTGTCTATATATCTGACCACCCCTCTGTGTTAGGCAACACTACCTTGTGAACGAACACTAAATGAATATGAAATAAAAGGGATAATTAAAAAAAAATTAGTGCTTATTTTAGAGAGAGAGAGAGGGAGACAGAATATGAAGCAGGCTCCAGGCTCTGAGCTGTCAGTACAGAACCTGAGGTGGAGGTCAAACTCAAGAACTGTGAAATCATGACCCGAGTCGAAGTCAAATGGTTAACTGACTGAGCCACCCAGGCACCCCTAACAGGGATAATTTTTACATCCTTATTATATAATAATGATATTTTTCTTCTTGTGGCTTTTGAACTTAAGGTAATTTCAGACCAAGTGTCACTGCCTGATTTAATTTATGATAACCTTCTTTTAGAAAGTGCCATGCACATTCAAGTGTATGCCACTAAAATGGAAGAAATTGAATTACAGACCCTACTAAATTCTTATAAATCGCTGTGAAATCTTTGAGATCCCATTCCAGTGGATCAAAAGTACTGGAGTTAATGTAATTATGATAGTAATGAATACTGGTCATTTTTTTAAAGCTTTATTTATTTACTTATTTAGAGAGAATACACTCACCTGAGTAGGGGAGGGGCAGAGAGAGGGAGAGAGAGAATCCCAGCAGGCTCCGTGCAGAGTCCAACAAGGGGCTGAATCCCATGAACCATGAGATGATGACTTGAGTGGAAGTCAAGACTCATTTGCTCAACTGACTGAGCCCCCCAGGCGCCCCTAGTGGTCACTTTTTTCCATAGCAAATGAGGTTGCCAGTAGCACATCTGGGGTTAAATAGATTCAGTCTTGTGAAAAGAGGAGTATTGTTCAACTATGAGAAATGATAATAATAATAAAGTCCCAAGTGTACTACAAGAATACAAAGAGGATTGTGCTTCAAAAATGGAGATCCAGAGAGTTGATAGTCTGAGAATGAGGAAGGAGAGGAATTTGGAGACTATATTTGGTGTTAGGTTTACTTTTCCCTTACCAGATAAGAGTATTGTCTATGGGAGAAACAGGCATGCTTATGGAAGATTGGTAAAATGTTTTGTGCTTCCGGTTTTCTCTTCACAGTTTTGAGGAAGTACGTGGAAAGTACTTGCCAGAAGAAGGCAATCTTCAGTAAGCGAGAAAGGCTTCCATGTATTGCACCACTAGTAACCACGGTGGAGGAGACGCCACAGATCGTCTCTGCTCGAGTCCGAGGACATTTTCCTCAGTGGCTCAGAGGCTATCTGCTTCGAGTTGGGCCTGGGAAATTCGAATTTGGGAAGGATAAGTAAGTCTTGAATTTGGAGAACCACTTTGGAGTTTTTAGCATGGCTGGTTCTATGGAATATACGTTAGATCTGCCTTCTCTCTGGGGCTAATGTCACTCAGTCCCTTTGGTTATAGGTGAGGAAGCTGTAGTCTACAGGAAAAAGAAAAAGGAAGCTTAATTCTTTTTTTTTTTTTTTAAAGTCCTGACTTTTCTGCTCTGCAGAATGTTATGAATTTGGAGTTCTCGTGAAAGCTCATGCCAAAAGAGAAGTGTCTGTATGACTGCCGAGCTCTGTTTCACCACAAGTTCCTGAAGGAAGGGGCAATGTCTTCACCTCATATAGCTCCCTTACCCAGTGTCTCCCAGACACAGTGGCTCTTTCAGTTCCTCAAACTGGGCACATTTAGTTTTGCTCAATGAGAGCACTGGGTCTCATCTGTCTTTCCAAATCTGATTCTTATCGCAATATCAGCTCAAGTCTCACATCCTTTGAGCCTTCCCTGATCTCCCGATCTAAAAATGCTATTAATTTTTTTTTTTACATTTACTTATTTTTGAGAGACAGAGTGAGACAGAGTGTGAGTAGGGGAGGGGCAGAAAGAGAGGAAGACACAGAATCCAAAGCAGGCTCCAGGCTCTGAGCTGTCAGCACAGAGCCCGACATGGGGCTCGAACCCACAAACTGAGATCATGACCTGAGCTGAAGTCAGACACTCAACCAACTGAGCCCCCCAGGTGCCCCTAAAAATGCTATTATTAACTATATTACCTATTTTAATTCTCTGCACAGCACTGTCAATGTCTAGTATTTTTCGTTTGTGTTCCTCCAACAGAATATAAATTTCATGAGGACAGTGAGTTTTTTTCTTGTTTGCCTTATATCTCCAGTATCCAGGACAGTGCCCTGCTTTTAAATAACACTCAATAAATACATGGAAATAAATGGGGGAAAACCCCAGTAACTCTTTAGTACATTGTTTCCCTGTGTAGTTAGAGGGACATGAAGTGGTGTAAAGAAACCCCTATAGTAAGGAAGGAATCTTCTTTGGTTTAAACATTTTAAATAATAGAATTTTTTTTTTCATTATGAAAGTTTTTACCTGTATAACACTTTTTGAAATACAGAACAGAGTGGGGCTAGGGTGTCCTGGGTGGCTCAATCAGTTAAGCATCCAACTCTTAATTTCAGCTCAGGCCATGATCTTAACAGTTCAGGGTTCAATTCCCACATGAGGCTCTGTGCTGTCTCTCTTTCTCTCTGCCCCTCCCTTGCTTGCATTCTCTCACTCTGAGAAATAAACTGGGGTACCTGGGTGGCTCAGTTGGTTAAGCATCCCACTTCAGCTCAGGTCAGATCTCACGGTTCGTGGGTTCGAGCCCCACATCAGGCTCTGTGCTGACCACTCAGAGCCTGGAGCCTGTTTTGGATTCTGTGTCTCCCTCTCTCTCTGCCCCTCCCTCACTCATGCTCTGTTTCTGTCTTTCTCAAAATAAATACACTATAAAAAAACTAAACTTAAAAAAAAAACAGTGTGAGAAAATGTGGACCACATTCTCTGTTAGCACTTTAGTGTATTTCTTCCTAGTCTCTGCCCCATTTCTATAAATTTATTTTAAATAATTACAATCATATTGTATGTACCCTTTTTGAAGTTTGTTTATTTATTTTGATTGAGACATAGGGTGAGTGGGATAGGGGCAGAGAGAGAGGGAGAGAGAGGATCCCAAGCAGACTCCGTGCTGTCACTGCAGAGCCCTGACTGGGGCTCGAATTCATGAAACCACAAGATCATGACCTGAGCCAAAACCAAGAGTCAGATGCTTAACTGACTGAGCCTCCCAAGTGCCTTGTATGTAGACTTTTAAAATTTGAGGTATAATTGACATATTACAGGTTACAACATAATGAATGATATTTGTATTGTTGCAAAATGGTCACCACAGTGAGTCTAGTTAACATGTGTTACCACACATAATTACAAAACCATGTTTTTCTTCTGATGAGGACTTTTAAGATTTATCCTCTTAGTAGCTTTTAAATATGCAATACAGTATTATTGACGATTGTTACCATGCTGTATATTACATTCCCATTGATTAAATTATTTTTGTACCTTTTGACTTCCTTCACCCATTTCACCTAACCTTACACCCTCATCTCTTGAAATCACCAGTCTGTTCTGTGTATCTGTGAGCTTGGGGTATTTGTTTTGTTTTATTTTAAAGACTCCACATATAAATGAGATCATATGGTATTTGTCTTTCTCTGTCTGATTTATTGTATTTAGCAAAATGCCCTTAACCATGCTGTCACAAATGGTAAAATATCTTTCCTTTTTATGGCTGAATTATATTCCATTGTATACATATACATGTACCACATCTTCTTTATCTGTTCATCCACTGATGGAAATTTAGGTTGTTGCTGTATCTTGGCTGTTGTAATAATACTACAACAAACATGGGGTGGGGGTGCAGATATTTTCGGAGTTAGTGTTTTTGTTTTCTTCAGATAAATACCCAGAAGTAGAATTACTGAATAATATGGTAGTTCTGACAGTGGCTGCACAAATTTGCATTCCCACCAACAGTACATACACAAGGGTTCCCTTTTCTCTACATCATCACCAACACGTGGCTATGTCTTATCTTTTTGATACTAGCCATCCTAACAATATCTCAATATTGTTGATATCTCATTATGGTTTTGATTTGCATTTATATCGTGATTGGTGATATTGAGCATTTTTCTATGTGCCTATTGGCCATATTCATGTCTTCTTTGGGAAAGATTCAGATCTTCTGCCCATTTTTAAAAAGTTTATTTATTTTGAGAGAGACAGAGTGAGTGAGAGAGAGTATGAGCGCATGTGATGAGTGGGGCAGGGGCAGAGAGAGAGGGAGAAAGAGAGAAACTTAAGCAGGCTCCACATTGTCAGCTCAGAGCCTGACTCTGGGCTCCATCTCATGAAATGTGAGATCATGACCTGAGCAGAAATTAAGAGTTGGGTGCTTAACTAACTGAGCCATCCAGGTACCTAACCCCTTCTGCCCACCTTTTAATTGGATTGTTAATTTTTTCAGTTTTGAGTTGTATGGAGTCTTTATGTTTTGGATATTAACCGATTTTTGGGGGGTTCTGGTTTAAAATTTTTCACACTATAATAAGCCTTTTATGTATATTGCTATGAAATCTGAATGACCATTATTTTTAATGGCTGGGTGATAATGCAGTGACTCCTCATTCTTCCATTCTCTAAGCCCCTCCCCTTCCATTCTGCTTTCTGTTAGCTACATTATGCCCTGAGGCCTGGTGAGACTGATCTTGGTTCAGCTGTTCTTTTCCTAGCTGTTATTGGAAAGAGATGAATTTTAGGGGCATGTTCAAGATATATGTTTTAATATTCCAGATATTTTAATTTGCTGAACCTGTTGGATTTTGTCTTCACTTGAATAATAGATTTATAAAATGCTAGTGCTAAAAGGCAATAAAATGCAGTGTATTCTTCACCCCTAGCTGCTATAAAAAGCGCTTAAGAAGTTACTTTAGATGCCTCTGGTGGAGTGGGGGATGAGGAGGTTGGGGGGATTGGGAGGTACTTTGGAGGTAGAGAAAAAGAAGGTGAAAGAGCTGGCCCATGGATCCCCCTGGCCTTAATTAGCAAAGGTGTGCTTTTTTTCTATTTAGATATCTGGATTTCAAAAAGTTATAATCTGAAAAAAGATTATAAGGCAAACAGAAGGGAGAGGTGGAAGAGAAAAATACAGCTACTAGTCCAATTCCTAGAGAGTAACAGCCTCTGAAAGCATATGGTATTTCATCTGCTGCCCTGGTAAACTTTAGAACCAAGCAGCAGAGCTCCTCAGGGCCTAGGCTTGCACTACAGGCCTCTTTTCAGATAAACATCTTTATGGGGGAAGTGGTGGTGAATTGGCAGTCAGTACATTTTCATTTTCTTATTTCCCTTTAGTGCCCTTGCTCCCCACTCCCTTTCCTGCCAAATTCCTTTTTTCTAGTTCACCTTACTTTTTGGGGTGTTACAAAATCTCAGGATTTGGAGTCAGCATTGAATTCAAATCTCTTTCCTGCCATTTACCAGCCCTGTGACCCTGGGCATGTTTTTATTCTGTACCTTGGTATTAATATTTATTCAGAGGATCAGTGTGTGTGTGATAAATAAATAAATATTAAAATAATATTTAATATTTATATATAAATTTAAAAATATTTTTATATTTTAAAAATGTTTATTTACTTTTGAGAGAGAGGTGGGGGGAGAGGCAGAGAGAGGGGGAGACAGAGGATCCAAAGCAGGCTCTGTGTTGACAGCAAAAAGCCCAATGTGGGGCTCGAAATCGCAAACTATGAGATCATGACCTGAGCTGAAGTCTGATGCCGAACTGACTGAGCCACCAAGGTGCCCCTATATTTATTTTTATATCTATAGGAAAGGATGTGGTAAAGTGCTTAGCACAGTCCTGGCAGGTAGTATGCACTTAGTAGATGGTAGTTACTGCCTTATTTGCCCCTAGTCTATGGCTTCCACACACAGATACTCTCATACACACATCTCCCACCCCACCCGCATCTCTTGTGCTCTAGTGCCAGTGCTTTGCCAACTGGCTGTGGAACATCTTTTCCATGATGCTTTACAAATAGCTCAGACTCTTATTCAAAAAACTGACCTGTTTGCTTTTCCCCAATGCTTGCTCTTCATATATTCTCCTCAGTTAAAACTTCACCTTCCCTCAGGTATGACTTTTTCAACCTTCTCTTTTTGTCACTGCTTTTGTCCTGAGTTGTTTCTGGAATTTGTCCTTTTCTGATTAGACTGCTTCAGTTCAGGCTCTCGTCCTCTTTCACTTGAATTATTGCCTGGTCTCCTCACCGGTTTCTCCAAATCTGGATGCTTCTCCTTCTATCCCATGTTCTATTGTGTCCAGAATGACCTTTCTAAGATGCAGGTCTCACTGGTTCACTCTCCTGTTTCAAAACTGCACACGTTCCTGTTGAAGGTCTTTGAGCTGAAAACCTGAGTGCAGAGAGGTCTTGTGCTGACCTGTTTCTCCATCACCGTTGCCTGCCACTGATGGCTTTGCCCACACGCTAATTTGTTAGCTGGCTCTTCCACCAGGATACCATATGCCTTCACTGCGCTTTTTTAAATTTTATTTTTAACCACCCCTCCGTTGGATGCCCTTCTCCCCTTCTCCAGCTGGCGAACATCCTTAGGGAATGAGACAAATGTCTCCTTTCCTCTGGACCCTTTCTGATCCCCACATCCTTCCATCCTGTTATTCCCTCTGTGCACATAATAGTGTTTTTCTGTTGTCTCAGTAATCACTTTATGACATAGTTATTTATGTGCCTGTAAGTACTGATCTTGGCACAAGCCTGGAAGATAGTAGGGGCTCAAAAAAAGTTGGCTAGTTTGAGTAAATGAATGCATGAGACAATAGAGTCTAGAAGGATCTTATGAAATGGAATCTAACAAGTTGGGTATTATATATATGTTATATATATAGTTGGGTATTATATATATATATAATTTATATATATATATATGTTATATATATAATGCTATATTATGTAGATGAAAAGAAGTTTTACAAGCACAAGGATGAAAGTGATATGGTTTAACAGCAGAATGTGTTAAAAATTACTTAAGGTTTTGGTTAACAGGTTAGTGTGATTCAACAATATGAGGTGGTAACCAAAAAAAAAGAAGGAGGAAAACAAAACAACATGAAGTCTCTTAAAAGAGGAAACTGAGCGACTGGTGTTATACCCAGACTATTGTGATTAAGACTATGCATTGTAGTTTTAGAGGAATTTAGATTAGAATAGCAATAATTACTGAAATTATTTTGTTTTAGTGTTTTTTGAAAAAAATGACCAGAACAGAAACTACCAGCTAACATGATCAAGAAGAAAAAGGGAGGAAGTACTAATATGCAAAAAAAGAAATGGCAGTGGAAAGAAATCCATTGAAATAAGTAAAAATTTACAGGAGACTTTGTAGGCCTATATGCAGATACATTTGAGAACCTCATGAAATGGATAATTTTCTGGGAAAACACAGATTACCAAAATTCATACAGATAGTAGGTTTGAACAGAACAGTTTTTGTAGAGGAATAAGAGATACTTGTTAATTACTTACCTCTCAAAAAAAGCACCAGACCCAGATTTCTTTTCTTTTTTTTTTTTTTGAATAGTTTATTGTCAAGTTGGTTTCCATATAACACCCAGTGCTCATCCCCACAAGTGCCCTCCTCCATGCCCATCACCCCTCTCCCGCTCCCCCACCCGCCTCAGCCCTCAGTATTCAAGAGTCTCATGGTTTGTCTCCCTCCCTTTCCCCTACTATTTTTCCCCTTCTTCTCCCCAATGGTCCTTCGTTAGGCTCCTCCTAATCCTCCTATACGTGCAAACATATGGTATTTGTCCTTCTCTGCCTGACTTATTTCGCTCAGCATAACACCCTCAAGTTCCATCCATGTTGCTACACATGCAGCCCCAGATTGCTGCAGAGAAATGTTACCCAAGCCTTCAAATATCAAATTGTCCTAAAGCTCTGTATATTATTTCAGAGAAAGTGAAACAAGTATAATGTTGATTATCTACACATGATGAAGACAGTAATAAGAAAATTAAAAAACGTATTTATTCATATCATTTATGAATATCAGTGAAAAAATACATAGTGCTAATATAGTACAAATAAATACTTCAGTAACAAATAGCATCTAACACTATATAAAAATATAATTCACAATGATGAAGTAGGATTAATTTCAAGAATGTAAAGTAGGTTCATTATTTGGAAATCCATTAATAATATATGCCATATTAATAGGCCTCAGGATAAATAATCATAGGATTATCTCTATAAAACTGACAAAACTTTCGTCGGAATTTAACATGCATCCCTCATAAAAATACTCAAGAAAACCGCACTTGATGGATACTTTCTTAATGTGATTTTATATACACACATGCATACATGTAAATATTTTTTTTTTATTTTTTTTATTTTTTATTTTTTTTTTAATTTTAATTTTAATTTTATTTTATTTATTTATTTTTTTTTTTACAAATAGTTTATTGTCAAATTAGTTTCTACATAACACTCAGTGCTCATCCCCAAAGTGCCCTCCTCCATGCCCATCCCCCCCTCCCCCCCACATCCATCAGTCCTCAGTTTTTGTCAGCATTCAAGAGTCTCTCATGGTTTGCCTCTCTCCCTTTCCCCCACCATTTCCGCCCTTCTTCTCCCGCTTGTTCCTCCGTCAAGTTCCTCCTAATCCTCCTATACGTGCAAACATATATTTGTCCTTCTCTGCCTGACTTATTTCGCTCAGCATAACACCCTCAAGGTCCATCCATGTTGCTACACATGGCCAGATTTCATTGTTTCTCATTGCCATGTAGTATTCCATGGTATAGATAAACCACATCTTCTTGATCCATTCATCTGTTGATGGACACTTAGGCTCTTTCCATGTTTTAGCTATTGTGGAGAGTGCTGCTATGAACATTGGGGTACATGTGCTCCTACACACATGCATACATGTAAATATATGTACATACAATATATACACATATGTAATAATATTACATGTATTATTACATGTAATATTATTACATATGTGTATATATGTATATACACATGTGGATATAAAGGTATAAGTACATGTATATATGTATATATGTAATACATTTTGTGTGTATATGTATACACATATATAAAATATATATGTGTGTATATGTATGTATACATATACACACACACATATATTTTAATCTTCGTCTTAAAACTAGTGATATTAAATTGGAAAACACTACAAGTATTTTTTTTTAAGACAGGAGCAAGGAAAGGATGGCCCCTATTCCACTGCTTTTCAACCAGATGTAACCAATACAGTCTTATTAAATTGATTAGAAGAGGCCCAAAGATTAGTAAAGTAAGACTATTTCCGTTTGCATATGATATCCTAGTAAACTTGGAAGACCATACAGAATCAATGACAAAACTAACTCAGACAATAAAAGGTAAGGTAACAGGATGTAAAATTAACTACTGAAATCAATAGCCTTCATGTACACAAACAGTAACCAGTTAGGGAACATAATGGTGGAAAAAACTTTTATAGTAGCAACAAAGAAGATTAAATAGTTAGGAACTTATAAGAAATTTGCAAACTTTAAAATACTCCTTGAGGTGGCTAGGTGCCTCAGTCCATTGACACTTGATTTTCACTCAGATTGTGATCCCAGGGTCATAGGATTGAGCCCATGTTGGGCTGAACTTGGAGTCTGTTTGAGATGCTCTGTCTTTGTCTTTGTCTCTCTACCCTTTACCCTTCTCCCCTGCTCTCAATCACTCTCTCTCTCTCAAAAAAAAAAATAAGTAAATTACAACACTCCTGAAAGATGGAATCAAGCAAATGAGAAAACATCCTCTGTTCTTGAATAGGATAATTCAACATCATAAAGATGTCACTGCTTCCTAAGTTAATTTTAAAATTTAATACAATCTTAAAAATTCCAACAAGTTTTTAAGGGAAAATAGATCAATACTAAAGTTTATATGGAAAAATAAATTTTCAAGAATAGTCAAGAAAACACGAAAAAAGATTTTCAATGAAGGGACTAGCCTTTCCAGACATTAAAAAATACTGTAAACCCTCTATGATTAAAACATTGTGATATCAGTGCAGAAATAAATAGACAAGTGATATAGAATAGAAAGCCAAGAAATAAACCCAAGAACTAATGGAAATTTAGTTTATAGTAAAGATGGCATCTCAAGTCACTGGGCAAAGAGAGTCTTTTTTTACTTTTAATTTTATTTCCATATTTTTTTTATTGCAGTGAAAGACATATAATGTAAAATTTACCATCTTAGCCATTTTTAGAGGTAAAGGTTAGTGTTAAGTTTATTCATATCGTTGTAAAACAAATTTTCAGAATTTTTCCAGCTTGCAAACCTGAAACTTTGCCTTTTTGTGTCTGTGACTGGGTTATTTCATTTATAATAATGTCCTTAAAATCTTTCTGTGTTATAGCATGTGACAGAATTTCCTTCCTTTTTAATGGACACTGGATTGTCTCCATTTTTTGGTTGTTATAAATAATGCTGCTGTAAACATAAGTGTATGAATATTTCTTTGATTTCTTGCTTCCAGGACCATTGCCTTTTAACACGATGGTGTTAGCCTTGCTTATCTGTGCTGAAGACATATAAAGCATTCAGTGTATCAAGCGCATGAATGAAAAGACTATATGATGTGAAACTCTTAAAAGCAAAGCCACAGACTTTTCCTTATAGTTTCTTGATGTTCCATCATTTAAATAGATAATTTCTACTGTAATCATATGTACAAAAATGATTATCCAGTAAGGGCAGTCATCTTATTTGTTTACTTTAGCATAATTCTGATAAATTTGAAAATTTTTAAAGTAAATGGAAAATATTACATATAAATAAGATGTGAAGATTATTATTTCTTAAAGCTTATTAGGAACCCATTTTAATTTGGAAAATGTCATGTATTCCATATCCTCTCCTGCTGTTCTCTTGGCAATAGGGTAAAAATCAGACTTGTTTTAGGAGTCACCAATTTGGAGTTGTTATTTTTTTAAGCCTTCTAAGTGTGAGTTTTTTGGCAGGGGAGTGAGGGTCAGGAGGATGTAAGTTGCTCTTCTCTGTTGGATTTCAGGATATACTCAAAAGATGTCATCTCTTATTCAAGTTTTCAAACTAATCAGGTTGTGCTGGGAACCCATTCCAATCCTTATCTCTATATTTGAAGGCTCTCATTTGCCTCTGTGTTTTTCTTACTGGTATTTGTTTTTCTGTTTTTGCTGCTATATGAAGGTACAATCACTGGTTTGATGGGATGGCTTTGCTTCACCAGTTCAGGATGGAGAAGGGCACAGTGACGTATAGAAGCATATTCCTACAGAGTGATACTTATAAGGCCAATAATGTTCATGATCGAATTGTGATCTCAGAATTTGGCACACTGGCACTCCCTGACCCCTGCAAGAATGTTTTTGAACGTTTCTTATCAAAGTTTGAGCTGCCCGGTAAGCAGCCTTTACTGTGCTCAGAATTTCTGGGTGATAGTGATGACTATTTAATTATGATATATGTCAATCTATATAAATAATATCTTGAAATAGAATTTTTTTTGGTCTGAGGTGATGTTTAAACTGTATTCTTGCTCTGACTGTGTGCTACAGTAAATTGTGGTGTTTGAGTAACTCTGGGATTTGATTTCAGCAATAACTGACAACACCAATGTCAACTATGTGCAGTACAAGGGTGACTACTACCTTAGTACTGAGACCAACTTTATGAACAAAGTGGACATTGAAACTCTGGAAAAAACAGAAAAGGTAAAATATAGTTTAAGAAAATGAATAAGGGATGTCTGGGTGGCTCAGTTGGTTAAGTGTTTGATCGGCTCAGGTCATGATCTCATGGTTTGTGTGTTCGAGTCCTGCATCAGGCTCTCTACTGTCAGCATGGAGGCCACTTCAGATCCTGTCACCCTCTCTTTTTGCCCCTCCTTTGTGTGCTCTCTCTCTTAAAAATAAAAAATAATAAATATTTACAAAAATGAATAAAATAGACCCTCAAATTTCATTCCTTTCCGAATACCTTTTAGAGTAGTAGTTATCTAAAGAAGAAATTGGAGCCTTAATCAAACAAAGAAAAAAAAAGTTACCCACTGATTCAGGTTACTCTGCACCTCTGTCCTCAGTAGATCTAGGCCTGTGAGGTTGATTTTCCTTAAAGATCATTCTAGACTTCTTCCTTAGTCCTAATATCTGAAGGCTAGAGTAAAGGAAAAATACAATAGTACAGATGTACATTGGCCATTTAGCTACAGGCAGAATTGGACAAGAGATTGTCTAGGCCCCTACTGCATTCACTTAACACATTAATTAAAAATAAAGTAAAATTTTGGACCAGAATTTTAATTCTTATTTTTTGAACTTTTCCTGTGATCTTGGTGGAGGGTGGGGAATCCTTACTGGATAATCATTTTTGTCCATTTGGTGGTGGTGGTGGAGTTTTTGTTTATTATTTAGTCTCAATTTCTTTGGTAGGAAAACTAATTTTGATTTCTTAGAGATGAGACATTAGGGCTTTGACTATAGTTTTCAAATCTTATTTTTAAGATATTTGACACATTCCTACTGTTGATACATGTAAATAGAGATCTGCCCGTGTAACATTTAAAACTCTCTGATGGTCTTACATTTGCAGGTAGACTGGAGGAAATTCATTGCTGTGAATGGAGCAACTGCACATCCTCACTATGACCCTGATGGAACAGCGTACAACATGGGGAACTCCTATGGGCCACATGGTAAAGTTGAGATGCAGGTCTTTTTAAAAATAATTTGGAGTTAACTCTCTCCCCAGGGTTCCATTATGGTTAAGGTGTGGACAGAGGGAACTTTGTTGAAAAAGTTCAGAAGGAAATCTCCAAAATGGCATAACTGAGCTAAAGGTACCTAATTTACTCTGTTCTGTGGTCCTTTTGTACATATGCTTAGCAACTGATTTGCTATTTGACCTTTTCAGCATGACTTACATTTTTTATGTTCTGTTGTGGTTTTTGGCTCACAGGCATTACAGGGATTTTCAGTATGTATTTCTCAAACTTGAATTTTTAAAAAAATATCATATAAGTACAAGAAATTTAGAATGCTGTAGCAAACAGATACGGGGAAGGTACATTGTTCATTCCATGGGAAAGGATTTATTTTTATCATGGGAGAAATACACTACAAAGTAAGTTAAGGTTACTGTGTGTTTGTATTTCCAGCCATTTACATCACATCTGTTTCCTGGTCATCCACAACTTTCCTTTTCCAACTGCCTACCAATCTGCTCCAGAAAGTTCTAATAGCTAATAATGGTAACATTTACTGAGTGCCTAGTATATCCTGGTGTTAAGCATTTTTCCATGTTTTTTAAAATTTTTATTTAATCCTTATAATGACTCTCTGAGGTACAATAATACAATAATAATTGCCCCTATTTTACAGACAAGGGCAGTGAACCTGGAAAATGTGTAAGATACTTGCTTAGGTAATCTTCTAGTGTGTAAGGCCAGTCTTGGCAGCAAGCCTGAATCACACCCAAAGTCACCCTGTTAGACTTTCTTTGTAATTATTTATTACTGAGTACAGAACATTCTCAGAACATGCAAATTCACATTCCTATAACTTGAGTTCATGTCTCTCTGTTTGAAGACAAATGGGTAGGTGTTTGATATTTCTGATTATTTTATAATCTATAAATGAGTCTATCATGTATAACCTGTGAAACCTTGGTATAGTTTAACTTTTGTGTAGGTTAATGCATGTCTTTGGTGAGTAATTGGCTTTGCAGGGTGTTTGTGTCTACCTCCCCATATTGACATAGGTGAGTGTATATTAAAATGCAAATTGCAGGTTTGTTTTTTACTGGCTCAAGTAGAGATAGTTATCCTAAAACTTTATCACCCAGCTCTCTCTCCTCTTCTTTATTACCTGATCTTGGATAGGGAATGTGTTCTTCAAAGCTGTTGTAGGAAACAGCAAACATCCTTTCACGTAATATGTTTTAGGAAATGGGTAAACTAACTCAGCAGGTTTTTGTCTTTCCATCTTTTTGATCATTAAAAAAGTTCATTTAAAAATAGTATCTAATCTATATACTTTTTTGGTCTGTTTTTCTTCTCTTAGCAATGTATTAAAATATTACAGTAATTATTTCTTATGTCAAGAAACATTTTCCAGAAACAGGCTGCATAGAATTCTCCTAAGTAGATTACATATTTTTTAAACTATTTTCTTGTTAATTAAAATATGATTGATAAAAAATACATTTCTTTAAAAAATTTTTTTTAAAATGTTATTTCTTTTTGAGAGAGAGACAGAGCATGAGTTGGGGAGGGGCACAGAGAGAGGGAGATACAGATTCTGAAGCTGGCTCCAGTCTCTGAACTGTCAGCACAGAGCCTGATGTGGGGCTTAAACTGTAGACTGCGAGATCATGACCTGAGCTGAAGTTGGACCCTTATCTGACTGAGTCACGCACGCATCCCCAAATATACATTTCTTAATAAATTAACTCTATTAATCAAGTAAATAACTGGGTACTAGTTCATAATATACTGTTTAGCTATTCTGAATACATATTCTAAAATAAGTAGCCATTAGATCAGTGGTTCCCAGCCTTTAGTGTCCCTAAGAATGTTATGGAATCATTCCCAGCAATTTAGATTACTGGCTTTTATCTTCAGAGAGTCAAGAATCTGCATTTTAACTACCACTTTACCCCTTATCTTGGCACATTTTAACAAGGTCCCCAGGTGATTTTTGGTACAAGTGATTACTGGATCTTTGAGAAACCCTGCCACAAGTGACCGGGGTTCTTGGTACTTTGCCTCAATCTGCTATTATATACAAAGTCCTGAAGAGTCTCTCATAGTTAGATGCAGTGTTGGTCAGGTCATTCCTCTGGGCATTCCTTTGCTGGGTGTTTCCTGGGTATGTGTCTGTCTTGCTCATGGCTTCACAACTTGCACTTAGAACTTAGTAACTAATAGTGATTAAATTTAATGAGTTGAGTATTGTCACTTAATCTAATTGCTGAGATGAGCAATTCTTCTCTTTATCTTCTCCTAATCTCAAACTGAATTTTCTCCTCTTCCTCCCCCCACCCCTTCCTCCTCCTTCTCCTTCCTTGATTATTTAGTTCAATGAGGAGTTTTGGAACTAGAGCTCAAATGTACATATAGCTGCAGAGTTTGACTACCTAGGTTGTATTTGGAGGAAATTTAGTGATTCTTGAAATAAAGTGCTTGCCAGTCATTTCTGTCTATAAGAAATAAAAAACTTTTATTTGTTTAAGCTTTTCCAGATATTTTTTAAGGCTTTAAAAAATGAACAAAAATCCTCCAAACATGAATGAATCCAAGTAGTTTTTAGTACTAATTAAATGTTTGTAATGAGTTAGATGGTAATATGGTATTCTTGGAACTGTAGAACTGCTCTTTTATTGCTTTTATAACTCATCACTGTCTAAAGCATGCTTTATTTATAATGGGTGCTCAGAACACATCTATATCTCAATTCAGACTCCTCCAATTGACATAAAATACTCAGTGTTTTTACTAGGATATCTAATAGGCATTACAAAATTAACTTATTTAAAACCAAACTCCTGAACTTTTCTCCTAAATTTTCTCTGCCTAAAATATTCCTCATTTCAGTTGATGGCAACTTCATCCTTCCAGTTGCTTAGGACGATAATTTTGGAATCATCCTTCACATCTGTCTCTCTCACATCCATATCCAATTGGTCAAAAAGCAATTACAGCAATGCCTTCAAAATAAATAAAAAAAATCCAACCACTTCATATGATCTCCACTACTGGCATTTTGGTTTGAGCCCACCATCCTCCCGCATGTGAATTAGTATAACAGCTTCTTAGCTGCTCTCCGTGCTTCTGCCCTTGCCCCATTACAACTTTTTCTCAGCATATCAGCCAGTTATCTTTTTAACCCACTCATCTCATCTCAGACTCTTGCTTACTATGACAGGGCCAACTGGCCCTGCTATTATATAGACACTCCAGGCTTATTCTTGGCTAAGAATCTTTGCATTTATTCTTCTCTCTACCTGGAATGTGTTTCTCCAGATATCCTCTAGCCTCTCTTCCTCGCACCCTCCTGGTCTTTACTCAAATGTCACTGTCTTAGTGAGCCCTTCTCAGATCACCATATCGACAATTGCAAACAGTGGCCCCCATCCATATATACTTATTCCCAATCCCTGTAGATCTTATCATCATCTGATGCTTTATTAGAATTTGAGCTTTGTAAAAAAAAAAAAAAAAAAAAAAAAAAAAAACTTTTGTACATTTGCACCCTGCTGTGTGTAAGTGTCTGGAAGATAAGCTTAGGACCCTTCGAAGAGTATTTGGAATATAGTTGACACTCAATAAGTAATTGCTGAATAAATGGATAGAGAACAGAAAGGTTATCTTGTTCCAAAAGAACCTGAGTGCTTACAAAGTTATGTGAGTTACCCCAGTTCTTCAGGACCAGCATTGGCAATTCTAATACCAGAAATATAATTCAATATGACCTCAGTATTTGTTTATTCACTGAATGATTATACATTTTTTTAATGTTTATTTATTTTTGAAAGAGAGAGAGAGAGCACACAAAAGAGAGCCAGGGAGAGGCAGAAAGAGAGGGAGACACATAATCTGAAGCAGGATCCAGGCTCCAGGCTCCAAGCTGTCAGCACAGAACCCAATGCAGTCAGTGTTCAAACTCATGAACCACAAGATCATGACTGGAGCCAGAGTTGGACACTTAACCGACTGAGCCACCTAGGTGCCCCTATTTACTGAAAAATTTAACAAACATACGTTGTTAAGTAATCCATCAATAGCTATTTGTACTGTGCCTCCTGAGTGCTAAATTCTTGCTTGGTACTGAGGATACAAAGATGAATCAGACACAATTCTCGCCCTTGAAGAACTTACCAGTCTACTGGGAAGCAGATAAACAAGCACAATATTATAGTGCAATAAAATAAGTGTATAACTATTTAGGATATAATCAGGGCATTGAGGGGAGACACCTTTGGAGTGAGGAAGAATCAGGGAGGGGCTGCTTGAGGAACGGTTACCTGAGCTGGTTCTTGCAGAAGTAGTAAGATGAATAATTATATGAATGAAGACAAGTGCATGAATGCATTGATGAGAAAGGATGAGATGGGACCCAGGGATCCAGAGGACTGGAGAGAAGGAGTTGGCATGGGAGCAAATGGAGATTGTAGTTGTAGGGATTGGGGAATGGGGAGAGGGACAAGTAGAATTTGAGGATATTCCTGCCTGCTATCTAATGTTTTCCTATAAAATAGAGAATGAGTTCATCTTCAGGGAGTGAGAGGGTAGTCTTTTGAGAGCATTAAAATGCAATAAACCTAACTACTAATCATGAAAAAAATTAAAATGGAATAAACTGTTGGTTGATTACTTTGTGTGTATCATTTTAAAACCTTAGCTAATGACTTTCATAAAGTTAATATGTTTTTTTTAAATCCAAATCTTTGTTTGAAATAACCCTTTATGGGGGTGCTTGGATGGCTCAGTTGGTTAAGCACCTGACTTCAGCTCAGGTCATGATCTCACTGTTCCTGAGTGAGTTAGAGCCCCATATTGGGATCTCTGCTGGTGGTGCAAAGCCTGTTTCAGATCTTCTGTCTCCCTCTCTCTGCCCCTCCCTGGCTTGTGTCTCATGCTCTCTCTCTCTTAAAAATAAATAAACATTAAAAAAAGAAATAACCTCTTATGAAATACAGATGTCATAAATATATTGCATAAATCTATTAACTGCTTTTATGTAATCCACGAGTGCAAGAGCTATCTATTATTCTAGAATTGGTATAAGTAAGACAGGACTTTGTTTTCCAGGTTCTCGCTATAATGTCATTCGGGTTCCTCCAGAGAAGGGTGATCTTAGGGAGACAATCCACGGAGCCCAGGTGATATGTTCTATCGCTTCTGCGGAGGGCATGAGACCTTCTTACTATCATAGCTTCGGTAAGCCCAGAGATAAGACACATTGCACTGGGGTCTGCCTTAAATGTCGCTGTAGCAGACAAGCTAGTTTTCACATATACTGTGTTAATACCACTTATCAAAGTATGCTGATAATGAGACCAAGGTTGCATTTTAATGCCACTTAAATTTATTGTGTTTAGTGACATACTTCTTATCCTAGCCAAATGACTGCTTAAAAGACATCAAAAGTGAACCAGAATGTAAATTATGGACTTTGGGTGCTTTTGATGGGTTGTCAGTTTGTCAGGTGTAGCAAATGTACTGACCACTCTCGTGGGGGATAGGGAGCCTGTGGGGGGTGGGGTGGGCAGGGTGTATGGCAAGTCTCTGTACCTTCCCTTTAATTGTGTTACAAACCTGAAATTGCTTTAAAAAGGTAAAGTCTTAATAGAAGAAAATCATTTGACCATAAAAAAAAAATGGACAGAATTCAACATGTTAGGTAACTTTAAAGTCACAGGTAATCATTATCATGAAAAAGTCTTGACTATATTTTGGGCGGGAAATTCATATTCTGTTTGATAGCTTCAGCTTTTTCTCAGAATATTTATTTTCTGCATTCTAAACCTTTATAACCAATCTGCTCCTGAATCTTTACCTTCAGTATAAATAGCAAAAGGATTACAGACTAAACATCTTGATCACAAATGAGACTTTAATATTATGCTTCTTTACTTGGTTCCTAAACCCACCAATTTAAAAAGAAAAATAAGAAAGATAAAAAGCAAGCTGAGAGCATTCTACCCAAGCTATTCTAAGCAGTTCCTTTTTTTATGTAGGAACAGGAATGTAAGGCAAAGCTGGGAAGCAGTGGAGAATTACTTCTGGCTGGCTTTTGTTTAGGTCAGAAGTATTATGTCTTGGCATTCAGATAACTCCCCATAACTATCACATTTCAAACAACTCTAATTTGCCAAATCCCATTTTATTATTTGCTGTAACCTTTTAGGAATGACAAGGAACTACATAATCTTCATTGAACAGCCTCTAAAGATGAATCTGTGGAAAGTTGTCACTTCTAAAATTAGGGGAAAGGCCATTGCGGACGGCATAAGCTGGGAACCCCAGTATAATACACGGTTTCACGTGGTGGATAAGCACACGGGACAGGTGCAGTATGTTGACCATATTTACTGTGAAAGTGGACAGGTCTTTATATGGTGGATTTTTTTTTCCCTTCAGACTGGGCATTGCTTGCCCATTCATAATCAAGGATATTGCCTTCTTCCGTAGGTAGGGCTAGCTACTTATTAATGAGTACAGTGGGTTTTGCATATTAGAAAATTGTAAGAAATGGTTTTACTTTTAATTATCTGATTCATCTAAACTGGCATCTAAGAAACCTTGGCATATTAACATGAATTTTTCCATATCATAATATCTGCTAAAGAGAATGTTGTCCACATAGACGTCTTCTGTAACTTTTACAATGATAGTTTATTTACTTGCTTCTATGACTTCTTGATATGTATATGTGATCCTACCAAAGTCCAAAGTGCGTTTGTTAAATATCTTTCTACACTCCTGATTAGTAACACTATGATATTTGTCTTCTTTTTGCCTTTCTAAAGAGATGATATCCTAAATTTACTGTACCCTAATTTCATTACAAAAAAATCCCATTTTGATAATGAGTACATTTTTCAAAGAATTATTCACTTAACTCATCATAAGCTACTTAATAGCAGTATTTTCTCTTTTTTTAAAAATAGTTTCTTAAAGTTTATTTATTTATTTTGAGAGAGAGAGAGAATGCATGAGCGCACCAGCAGGGGAGAAACAGAGAGAGAGGGAGAGAGAGAGATCCAGAGTAGGTTCTGCACTGTCAGTGTGGAGGCCGAGGGGCTCTATCTCCCAAACCATGAGATCTGATGTGAGCCAAAACCAAGAATTAGACATTTAACCTACTGAGCCACCCTGGTGCCTCAAAAGCAGTATTTTCTATTCAATCATGTAAGAGTCTAGGATTTATTTATCCCTTAAAACATTTGGCCATATTTCATAAGGACTTTTAAGTTCATTGTAACAGATGATTGGTTTATATCAAATAGCCCCAGTTCATTGTTTAATATGAAATTTGATGACCTAAGAAGCAATGCTTAAATCAAAATGCTTGCTTCTACGTTTCATATTCTACCTTTTACACTTACTAGGACTGTCATTTAAAGGGGAGGGGGAATCTTTTTAATTTAAACTTTGTGGATCTGTTCCCTAAAAAAGAAAATGAAAAAAATAAAACATCTCTTTTTCTTTGTATTTTCCCCTGCAGCTTCTTCAAGGGATGTACTATAGTAAACCTTTTATTACTTTTCATCAAATCAATGCCTTTGAAGACCAGGGCTGCATTGTAATTGATTTGTGCTGTCAGGATGATGGAAGAAGCCTAGAAGTTTACTGGCTACAGAATCTCAGGAAAGCTGGGGAAGGGCTTGATCAGGTAAACATCTCTGATTTGTCAGGAGTTGCCAGTGTAATTTTAAATGAGCCAGGTTCTGACTGTTTCTCTTGCTTCTTTGGCAGATAAGGAAGTAGAATGGTTTTAAAGCACTAAAGGCACAGCTTTGTCATTTACTTATTTAATAGTTAAAAATAATTTGAAGTACTTAGTACCTAATCAATTAAAAGTGTATTAAAGAAAACAAAGAGATGTGTTTTGAAGCACTGTGTGATTAGCTCCTTATTACACTTGAGCACTAAACATACTTCAGTTTCCTGGAAGGGTGGGCAAAATGGACTATAATATCTTATTTCTCTGATAAAAGAAAGAGTTTTGGTTCATCCAGCTGAAGGGATTCACTTTTTCCTGATACTGAATCTAAGGTAGAAATTTCCTTGGATTATGTAATATAAATTGTTTCAGGCTGCAACTTTATTTTTAAATCTTTTTAAAATATTTATTTAATTTTATTTTTAAAGTTTAGTTATTTATTTTGAGAGAGAAGTGAGAGTGAGAGAGAGAAACATACATGCACGAGTTGGGGTGGAGCAGAGAGAATCTCAAGCAGGCTCTGTGCTGTCAGCATGGAGACTGATGCAGGACTCAAACTTACAAACTGTGAGATCATGTCCTGAGCAGGAATCAAGAGTCAGATACTCAAAGTAGACTGAGCCACCCAGGCGCCCCTAAAGTTTACTTTTCTTACAAAGCTTATTTATTAGTTATAGCTGTCTGATAGGCTTTGATATCTACAGTATAAGTCCTTTAGCTCTTTTCTTTCTAAAGACTGCCTGGGGTTTTTCTTGGCCTTTTTGCATTTCCATAAGTTTAGAGGCAACATGTCAGGTTTTGCAAATAAAAAAAACAAACAAACCCTGATTGGAATCATGTTGCAACTACACATCAATTTCAGGATAATTGATATCTTTACAATAGTAAGAAATATTGAGTCTTCCAGTCCATGAACATGGAATATCTTTCCATTTATTTGGGTCTTTTAAAAATTTCTCTCAGTAATATTTATGGTTTTCAGAGTCAGGATATTACATATCTTTTGTTAAATTTATCTGTAGGCATTAAGGCTTAGTTTTGAAACTATTGTAAAGGATATAGTTTATTTTTTATGTTATTTTTTAAAGATTTTATTCTATTAAAATTTTTTTTAACATTTATTTTGGAGAGACAGAGTGTGATTGGGGGAGAGTCAGAGAGAGAGGGAGACATAGAATCTTAGGCAGGCTGCAGGCTCTGAGCTGTCAGCACAGAGCCTGATGCGGGGCTCTAACTCACAGACTGTGAGATCATGACCTGAGCCAAAGTTAGATGCTCAACTGACTGAGCCATCCTGGTGCCCCTAAAGGTTTTATTTTTAGGTAATCTGTACACCCAATGTGGGGTGTCAACCTACAATCCCAAGATCAAGTGTTGCACACTCCACTAACTGAGCCAGCAAAGAGCCCCAGCCTTTTTTTTTTTAATTATAAAATTTTTTTATTCAAGTGTAGTTGACATACAATATTATATTACAGGTGCACAGTTATAGGAGCACAACATAGTGATTTAACATTTATATACATTATGAGTTGATCATCACAATAAATCTAGTACCATCTCTCACCATACAAAGTTGTTACATATTATTAACTATACTCTCTATGCTGTACATCATCCCCTCATGTCCTATTTATTTTATAACTGGACTTTTATACCTTTTACCCCTTCCTCTGTTTTGCCCATCCCTACACCCTGCCCTCTGGCCAGACACTCAATGTTCTCTGTTAACATTTTTAGCATCAAATTTGCTTTAGATTTTTTCTTCTTCTTTTTTAATTTAAATTCAAGTTAGTTAACATCCAGTGTAGTCTTGGCTTCAGGAGTAGAACCCAGTGATTCATCTCTTACATATGACACCCCGTGCTCATCTCCAAAAGTACCCTCCTTAATGCCCACTTAATGGTGCTTTTGATGAGTAAGCGTGTTCTAGTATATTAATTTTTTTCTTTTTTGAGGAATACATTGTACATCCTGTTTCAGGCATCTTCCCATGGTAAGGTTTTAAAAAGATTTTTCCATGTTACCTCTAGAAGAATTTTTAATTCTAAAAATTAAGTACCCATATATATATATTGTTCTGTTTCTGGGTTAATATTTTGTTCTATTGTTCTACATATGTATTCTTGTGCCAGCATCCCATTGTGCTGTTTAATATCACTGTATAAAAATCTTGCTGTTTAGTGGATAAGATTCCTAATATTTCTTATATAATTGAGTGTCATGGCTATTCCTGGCCCTCTACAATTTTTTTTAATTAAAAAATTCTTGTTTAAATTTTAGAGCAAGCAGGGGAGAGGGGCAGAGGGAGAGAGAGAATATTCCAAGCATGCTCAATAAGGAGCCCAACATGAGGCTTGATCCTATGACCTTGGGATAATGACCTGCCCCTAAATCAAGAGTTGGGCATCCCTACATTAAAATTTTTTTTCATGTTTATTTAGTTTTGAGAGAGACAGAGACAGAGTATAAGTGGAGGAGGGGCGGAGAGAAGGAGACACAGAATATGAAGCAGGCTCCAGGCTCTGAGCTGTCAGCACAGAGCCTAATGTGGGCCTCGAACCCACGAACTGTGAGACCATGATCTGAGCCGAAGTTGGACATTCAACCAACCAAATCACTTATGCACCCCCCCCTACGTTTTAAAATACATTTTAAAATTAGCTTTTCGGTTTCTACACACACACACACACACACACACACACACACACACACACACACAGAAAAATAAGAACCTGTCAGATTTTAATTGCATTTGCACTGAATCTATCTATTAATTTGAAAGAAGTTAATATGTTTACACAATGTGAATTCTTCCAGTATATGAACACAATTTATCTTTCCATGTTATCACTTCTTTAAAGTGTTTTATAGCTGTCTGGGTACCATTTTATACATCTTTTAGCTTATAAAAAATTATTAAATTACTGGATTTACTCCTAAGTATTTGATATTTTTTGATATTAATTTAAGTGCTATTTACTTTTGCTTTCATTTTTTATTAATACTGCTGTATAGCAATATATTTGATTTTAGTTTATTCATCTTGTATTCAGTTAATGAATATATTAATTGAGTAATTCTAATAATTTACAGATTCTTTTAGATTTTCTACATCTACAATCATAGCTGATGCAAGTAATGACACTTTCTTTTCTTCCTTTCCAAACTAGTTACTGATTTTCATTTTCTTGCCTTTTTTCACTGGACCTCCAGAATTGTGTTGAATGCAAGTGGTGATGGCTGGCATCCTTATCTGGTGCCCAGTCTGAGAGGAAAAGTCTTCAACATTTTACTATTAAGTATGCTGTTTGCTATAGATTTAAACAAGCAAACAAACTAGTTGATTTTGTTTTTTAGAGAAGTTTTAGGTTTAAAGAAAAATCAAGCAGAACATGGAGAAAATTCCCTTATATATTCCCTTCCTCTAATATCCCCAGGTTCCCCTATTATTGACATCTTGCCTTGGTGTGCTATATTCGTTGCCACTGATGAACCAATATTTATATATTATTACTACCTAAAGTCCATAATTTACATTAGGATTCACTCTGGGTTGTATAATTCTATGGGATTTGACAAATGCGTAAGGTCATGTATCTACCATTATAGTAACATACACACTAGTTTCCCTGCCCTAAAAATACCATGTTCCATCTTCTTACCTCTCCACTTCTCTCAATACCTGCAACCCATAATCTTTTTACTGTCTCTATAGCTTTTCCTTTTTCAAGATGTCATGTAATTGGAATCCTAGAGTCCAATCCTAGAGACTGGCTTTTTTTCTCTTAGTAATATGTATTTAAGGTTTCTCCAAGTCTTTTAGTGGCTTGGTAGCTAATTTTTTCCATCACTGTATGTATGTACCACAGTTTGTTTATCCATTCATTTATTGGAGGATATCTTGGTTACTTTCAGTTTTTGGCAAATATAAATAAAACTGCTGTAAACATTTGTGGTCAGGTTTCGTGTGGACGTAAGTTATTGATAGATTTTTTTTTTTTAATGTTTATCTATTTTTTGAGAGGCCAAGAGATAGAGCACTAGTGGGGGAGGAGCAGACACAGAGGGAGAACCGGAATTTGAAGCAGGCTCTACATTCTGAGCTGTCAGCATAGAGCCCAACACTGGGCTTGAACTCATAAACTGTAAGATCATGACCTGAGCTGAAGTCAGACACTTAACTGACTGAGCCATCCAGTGCCCCCATAGGTTCGTTTTTAAAGATACTTTTTGCTCACTTGGGAAAGTTCCCTTTTACTTCTAGTTTACTAAGAATTTTTATCACAGATGGATGTTGGATTTTATCAAGTGTTTTTCTATACTGAGATAATCACTTGACTTATCCTTTATGTCATCAGTGTGGTAAAGTATATTGATTGATTTCAGAAATGTTTGTAATAACAGCTATTTATTGATTTTTGAATGTTAAGCTTTGCCTTCCATTCCTGAATCAAATCCCAATTGGTTGCAATGTATTTTCCTTTAAATATCGTTGGATTTACTTCATCAATACTTTGTTTAGGATTTATTGCATGTGTTTTATGAATAAAATAAAATTGGTGTATAACTTTTCTTTCTTATAATGCCCTTGTTAAGTTTTGGTATTAGGGCTTTGCTGATCGCATACAGTGAGTTAGAAATTGTTCTCTATTCTCTGTATAGGATTGGCATTATTTCTTAAATGTTTGGAATAATTCAAGAAGTAAGCCATCTGAGCCTATAAATTTCCTTATAGTTAGATCTTAAATTATGAATGTATTTCCTTAATAATATAACATTATTATGATTTTTTTGTGTCAGATTTGGTAAATTGAGTTTTTTAGAAACCTATGTCATCTAAAATTTCAAGTTTATTTATCTGATGTTATTCATAATATCATTGTATGTTTTTAAAAAATGTACCTATGGCTAATTGATGCCATCTGTTTTTATTCCTGACATGGTAA